CCCCCCCCCCCCCCCCCCCCCCCCCCCCCCCCCCCCCCCCCCCCCCCCCCCCCCACCCCCCCCCGCCCCCCCCCCCCATCCCACAACACCGTCTCTCTCCCATCTCTGTAGGGTCCCCCAAGCCACCAGCCTCCAGCAGATGGTAGGGGGTTTAGCGGGGACGACTTTGGCTCACCTGCGATTGCCGTGGCGCTGCTTGTTGTGGGTTAGCTCAGCCCTCCTCTCCTCCTCTACAGAGGTCTCTCTCTCTCTCTCTCTCCCTCTCTCTCTCTCCCCGAAACTGTCTGCTGCTCAAAGCCCCGTATGCGCTAACCGAGCAGCAGCAGATCAACTCAAGTCCCTTCCTGGTTTCTGGAGGGCAAAGAGGTCCCTCCCTTTCTCTCTCATTCTCTCTCTCTCTCTCTCTCTCTTAAAGAGACAGCATTCCCCTGTTTCTCCTTCATCGTCCTCTGGGGAGTACGATCAAAAAAAAAATGACTCTGCATTCAAGTCAGGATATGATCACTGGCTTCTAAAGAAACAAACATAGCAGACAGCAGGGCAGCGAACAATGGATATTACTAGTTTTATGTCCTCCATTTTTAAATTATTATCAGGAAGTTTCCAGTGATTTGGGGGGGGAGGGAAGTGGGAAAGCGTGGTCTATTTATGGTTGAATCACGTTTTTTTCCCCCCTTCTTAATCTTCTCCTTCTTCTTCCTCCTCCTCTTCGTTCTCTCTGGGAGCACCAAGTCGCACCCACCCATCCCACAGCCTGAGGTCATGTGGTCCCACCCCAAACGCAAGCCTGAGCGCATTCCAGGACACTTAGGGACTGCCAGCATCACACCCCCCACCAACCCCACCCCCACACCCGCCCGCCACTTTCTCCACTGCGTCCCTTTCTCGAATCTGCTTTCTCTGTGAGGGTCCCCTAGGCAACGCCTATGCCAGCAGACCTCAGCAGTGGCGGCTGCTCCGGCCGGCCCTTGGCCCCCATTCTCCAAATATCACTCTTTAATACGGTGCCCCATCCCAGAGCTACCCTCCAATCTCACTTTAAACTTTTCCAGTGCCTGCATTTGGCTAGATACTCACAGGCCTACATACAGTTGGAAAAGAAACCAAATTAAGATGGCAATATTGATTTACCCCGAAACACAAAAACTGAAATTCCAGTTTGACTCATCATTATAATAAAGCTATTAGTCTGTGACACACCCTTCATTACATATTTGTTCCTGCTTATTTCCTTGTTTTCAATCTTCCACTGGTGTGTTCAGGTTTCCACCTATATAAAAGTGTGTGCTGGTTTTGTAGGTAAATATCTTATTGTATTTTATTTCTCCTTATAAAGTGTCAAAATAACAGGATTTCAAGATAATCTTGGACCTCAGGTAAGATGTCCTGTGTTGGATGGATTTTTCTGTCCATCAGGGGACACAGAAGTAGAACAGAATTGAATTTGGGCTAATACATTACCAGTTCTATTGAGAGGACAGGTCCTACACCTGCATTATACGCACCATAATATTTTTACCAGCTTAGCGAAGGTAAACTCTTCAAATACTGCATCACAGAAGGACAGCTGAAACCTTTTTCAAACAGGCAAAAATTATGAACCATCATAAAGTGTGGAGTTGCACAGTCTATGGCGATGTCATTCTAACATTTAAACACACCCCTTTCCCGTCTGTAACTGCGTTTAAAATATTCAGAATTCTAATTCTCCATCTAAGAATTGTATTTTTGCTAGATATAATGAAAATTACATGTATCCAAAACTGTATTCTTACTAGTAAAAACTGTATTTGAATATATCTATAACTTAGACTATCCTGGACAAATTTCTATTCAAGATATATTCAAATATTTAAGTGGCTATTTTAACGTTAAATAAGTAGGCGGGATAGTAATTTTAGATATCTGCCTTGTCATTCTTACTTGTACAAACTGGCATTTCAGATATCTGAAATTCAATTCTTACAAGCACAAATGAGCGTTTGAGATAGCTGTAATTCAGCTCTTACTATAGGAATGCCAGTTTTCCCCTTTAATCTGTACTGAGATTTTCATTTGAGAGGGCAGCAATTCCATTTTAGATATCTTAAATGTCAATTCTAGATATCTGAAATTACATAGTAGTTACTAGTAACGATTTTATTCTTAGATGACTGCAATTAGTACTAGTGACAATGTTTATTTTATGTAATACGATATCTAAAATTCGCATTTGAGATATCTAAAATGGAACTGTGGCCCTCTCAAATGAAAACCTCAGTACAGATGAACAGGAAAAGTCACATCATGCCTACTAGGAAGAACTGAACTACGGATATCTCAAATGCTCATTTGGACTCATAAGAATTGAATTACAGATATCTGAAATGCCAGTTTGTACTCGAAAGAATTACAGTGCAGATATCTAAAATGACTATCCCGCCTACTTATTTAATGTTAAAAAGGCTTGCCATACACAGTTTTACCACAGAGGGCGATCACAAGAATTAGGGCAGGTAATACACAATCCAAAAAAAAAAAACAAAGCTATATATAAAAGTTACAGTGTGTACGGACAGTGAACTCCACTCCCTCGTAAGAGTCACAACACGACGAGCCTCAAAATCCGTTTTAATAACGATAGCACCGTACCTGAAGCATCAGGGCAGCCTGCTAACGATCCAAATAATTACTTCACAACAGCAATTAAAAGGTGAGGCAAGCAAAAACCAGTGGCTTTGCAGCCCTGGAGCACTGCAACCGGCCAGGCCTTCATCGCAGTGCTATATGTCAGCTGCCATTAACATGCAGCAAGCAAACCAAGGCTTTGCCCCATTTGTACTTAGAAAGGAAAGTTATGAAATGCTAAAGGGGGTGGGGGCCTCGTGCTAATCCGAGCTCCTGGGGGTGGGGGGGCCTGTCTGTCCCAATCCGAGTTCATGAACAGCCTTGCACTCATTAGGCTCCACCAAAGCAAACTTTAGTTATGGTGAATAAAGTTGTCTTTTAGTATTTTGTTGAATGAGCATCTTTAGAATTACTGTATAGAAGTTACAGAATAATGAATAAACCCAGGTTTTTTGTTTGAAATCAGAATTGAAAAAAAAAAAATCTAATTAGCATAAATGTGCTAATATGTTAATAGCATATAAAAGGCAACATATTAACAAAAACGCTCCTGGGTAATTCTTAATGTAAAGATACTGCAACATTTAGGATTACAGATTGATTGTCTTGTTCTTGTTTTTTTATAATGAGATTGTATAGATAACATGTATTTTCTGAATTATCAGTATTCATTACTTATACCTTTATTACGGTATAAAAAAAACACACAAAAACAGCAGGTACCAGTCATTCAGCTTTCTGCCATTTTGTTTGTTCAGCACAGCACTGCTATGAATATCCAGTGCTATTCTAATGAACACAGGTTTACATGTGTCTGTTTATGAATATTTATAAGCTTTACAATACACACAAATGCGAGCTCACACGCGCGCACACACACACACACACACTCTATTTGCCTATTTTGCACAAATTCACCTTCACCGCTAGTACACTTTATTTTCCTTTATTGTTGTTGACATTTAAATACTGTTTATCAGCCAAATTAGGACAAAAAAAAAACATGTATATAAAGACATACGTGAACCATTTTGTACACATGTGAATACATGTGCGCATTCAGCAATGTGGGAAGCTGACAACAGAAAGAAAATTAGTATCCCATATTCCAAAAACAACAACATAAAACCATTACCTATTGTGATCACAAGTACATTCTGAATGTGTTCAATGGAGTGTTATTTTGCAGGAAACTGAAAAGGGGAAAAAAAAAAACAGTGGGAGACAGAATACAAAATGTCAACATGTAAATAAATAAAATCCAGCATTTTCAGATGAGGAATGATGAGCAGTGACAGAAGAATGATTTGCTGCCTCACAACCCAATCCAGTTTCCACACGGGAAGATTATTTTTTTTCTGCTGAAATGGTACTTAAATTAGGCTAGGGCTGCATATCACAGAATGTGAAAAGAAACAGGAAATACACAGACACAGACAGACAAAGATAAACATTTTCAAAGCCCGGAAGGTCCTCCCGGACTGCAGGTAACAGGAGCCAGAGCAGGGCCCCCCTAGGACAGTCACCAGCATTCACAGTCTCAGGTCTGCAGGCTACCTCCTCTGAAAGCTGTCTATCTAGATGACATCACGCCAAACTCCTCTTTAACCTTGAATATTTTCGGCCATAAACATTTAAGCCGCGCCGATGCGTTATCGTAATCTGCAGCGCGCGGCTTAAGTCGTGCGAGAACGGCGGTCGACCCCGTCTAGGAAAAAACCTAACCCAACTACACAGGCTCAACTCGGAGAGAACCGTTTACATCAGGCCCTAATACGAATTTTAAAACCAAGTAAAGTGCAGGATGGAAATAAAATTTTTTACAAAATCGCCTTTTACCCAGAGCACAGCCCGCTGCTAAAAAGCAGGCATGTTTCCCCAAGAGCACAAACTCAGTCATTTGCTGCCTGGTCATCCTCCATTTATGTGTAAAAAAAAAAAAAGAAAACAAAAAAAAATTCAAATCCCAGCAGAAATTTTACTTAGAAAAATGTATTATTTCCTAAAGTCACAGAAGCAAATTCAGCAACGTAGGAGAATTATTTTGTCCTAAGCATAAAAACTGGTCAATCAAGAAGCCTATATTGAGAGGTTCTATAGTTAGTCTTTGGAGTGTGACTGACCTAACTAGGCTCTACTAATTCAATCACAACATCAGGGGGCACATTGGAAGGTAAAAATGCTATGAACTGGCTACAAGTCCAGAAAAAGCAGCTTTCATTTCATACTTTCTCATTTTGAAACGCTTACCTTGGACACATTAAGGATGGCTTTCAGACAGGACATAACATGATGGTTGTAGAATACACACACACACACACACACACACAAGTACACAGACGAACATACACACACCCTTCTACATACACACATGAATGCACGCACACACGCACACACACAATTAACACCCGATTAATAAATCTACTTTGCAGAAAGGAAAACCCAAGTGAATATAAATACCCACATTTTGGGGACTTGACGAAAACATTCGTTGGTAACATACACCGTCATGCTGTTACCTTAAATGTACAATAATAATAATAATAATAATAATAATAAAAAAAAAAAAAACACAACATTCAGATACAGCAATCACTATCAAAATGGACCCCATTTTTGTGTACTGCAGGAAAATAGAGTATGCTTCCGCTGAAACGGCGTGGCCAGCATGATGACATGTATACATGTACATGTAGGTATCCGTCTGCGTGCACATTGCAGGGGTTGGGGGAGGTATAAGCAGACAGACAGACAGAGACAGATACACAGACAGACAAACAGGCGGGCAGCGCTCAAACGACACTGCGCGTGGGAGTGCGAGGCTGGCTCAGACCCATGGTTCTGCACAACCAGCCGGCAAAGTCCACCTCCTCCACTTCAGAGCGCTTGATGAACGTGTGGTTCTAAACACAACACACAATCAGCAGTTAGCATCACAGGCGGGGGAGGGGGACAGGCGCAGCAATGATATACATTTAAAAGACAAGCCAGAGTGCAAACTGTGCTAAATGACACTATACTCTAATGGGGCAGCAGGGGTGAAAAGTGCAGATCACTATGAATATTTAGTGGCACTCATTTTACACAAAAATTAAGCTAAGGGTTACAAAATGGGTTAGTAGAGACATAACTGAACTGGCTGAATTGTCTAACACAGATGTTTTATGTTCTTTAAAAGTAACCTGGCAAAATAAAGGACCACACCGATTACTACTCAAGAACATTTTTCGAATGACCAGATCAGTCGCGCATCTTACGTTGACTGGAACAATTTAACAGACCAGGAATTTCAGGTGACAGTCTCCAAATGACCATAATAAATAAATCACATTTTGGGTGGAGTTTTGCCCTTCGCTAAAATTAAGCGATGATCACAGTTCACATGGCGGGTCATGTCTGCTCACCATTAACATCTTCAGGTCTGCTCTCTCTGCTGGGTTCTTCATGAGACTGGGGAAACATTTCGGGCATACAAAGTCTTAGCGGAATGCTAATGTCGGGCTACCTTTTCAAATGTAAACAGTAAACCTACTCGTCTTATAATAGCACAAAGTGCTCCTTGGGATGATCTAGCTGACTTTTCCCCATGTAAAAAGGCAAAGGGGATTGAACAGTCACTGAACTTGTATAGTAGCTCAACAAGTAGTGCACTGCGCTAACAATGCAATTGTTGTGGGTTCAGACTCCAGGGAGCGTGCACCCATTCCTCTACGGTACTCACTTTGGATAGAAGTATCAGACAAACGAGTTAAATGTAAAATGAGAAAATCTCAGGCTGATCTTTTTTTCTGCTGTCAGAGTGACTGTCTGAAATCTCACCATTTTGTCACAAAGTCCTGAAAGTCACAAGTGAAGATGCCATGCGGGAGTTTTGGGGGAGGCTGCAAAAGGAGGAGGAGAGGAGGTGAGTAAGACGCCTCCGAGGGCTGGGAGATCCAGGGGAGGCGAGCGAGGAGGGCCCTGACCTCATTGACGATGTAATCCAGCAGCTCAAATATAGCCATGGCTGGTCGACTGTCCATCCCGTGTCCTTAGAGACAGACAGCGTCAGCACGCCAGCTTACCCACGGACTAAGACTTGGAAGAATTCCTCCATAAAGTATTGTTTACATTGACTGAAATATTTTGAAAGTAACCTACAAAAGTCACAAAGAAGCACTTAAAAGGTGGTGCTCACCGCTGACTGGCCGGCCTGGAGGGCGAGGGCGTGGGGAGGTGCTGTCGCCATCAGCCCCGTCCAATATTGGCCGCCCGAAGACGGCCTCCAGCTCTTTGGCGTCAGGGGGCGGGATGGGATAGCGACCGATGCCGAGCTCCACCAGGGACAGGCCCATGCTCCACACGTCAGACTGCACCGAGTAGTGCGTGCCCTGCAGTCTCTCCGGCTGTCGGGGCGAAGGCTCGCATCACTCACAGACACGCGGCCAAGAGAGCAGAACCGGCTCTGTGTGGGACGGCGGCAGGCAGCCCGATGGCGGGCATGGCCTTGGGCCCCGGCGGGGGGAGGGAGAGAGGGCTCAACTCACCGACATGTACGAGCGCGTCCCGACGAAGGAGTTGGCCATGGAGTCGATGAGCTGGCCGCTCACACCGAAGTCGCACAGCTTGATTTCCCCGCGTGAGTTCACCAGGATGTTGGACGGCTTGACGTCTGTGTGGCGGGGCGCGGGAGAAACCACGTGACATGGGGTTGCCGATCCAACCCGTCCCGTCCCGGCCTCCCCAAGGATGGCGCGAAGGACCCCCCGAGAGTGCCAGAAGCCACGCCCGCGAGGACGGTCCACCCTCTTTTCCACAGAGGACCGGCGAAGCCAAATCCCTCAGCGGACCTACAATCCTTCTGTGGTGACCCCCACCCCCCTGGCCACTCCTGGGTAAATGTTCAGGGGGGGGCAGTGGCAATGAGGGGGAGGACTAAACGGGGGGGGGGGGGGGGGGGGGTCATGGGTGCGGCAGCCATATAATCACATCTGAGAGCCTGTAATTGCGGCCTGGGCTTCCAGACAGCGTCGCGCTCCATCAGCCTGCCAGCTGCCACATCCCTGACGGTAACCCTTTCAGCACCAACCCAGGGGCCTGGGGTCCCCCACTCCACCCAAACACGCCTCCACAATATACGACTTCACTCCACCTGCCTACAGACACGGACAACAGCCAAGGGTCAGGCTGCACGCTCCTCAAAAGCAGCGAACCTGGTACCTGAACCAAACTACACACCAGCTTCACAAGGCAGTTCCTGCACACCACACCACCAAAAAAAGAAATGCTTTTCAAACAGTGAGGTCAGATGCCCAGGACTCCTCTAACTTAAGTTATAATTTTTTGGCCCCATTAGTAAAGGAAGTACATAGAAAACACAGTATCCATTTTTTTCCCCCAATACAAGAAAAAACAACCCTACTGGGAGGCGTTTATGTTCTACTGGGCTTGGGCAGGACTGGAGTCACACACACACACACACACACACACACACAAATAAGGATATTATATTTACACATCTGAGGTATTGGTGTGGCACTTACCTCTGTGCATGATCTGGTGTTTCTCTCGCAGATAAGCAAGCCCTCTCAGTACCTGTTACGCACAAAGAGGCAGAAAGTAGGGAAGGGGAGATTCAAAAAGCGTTAACACACCCCTATAGGGCCATTTAACCCCAATCGATTTCCATGCGGAGGATTCCTGATTTGTTGTGCTTCCAATTACATTTACTACATTGCAGTTAACAACAGGAACCACTGCAACATTGGAAAATAACCAGAACCCCGCTCTGATCAGACACCTGCTGGCGTTATTGTGTTTAGAACTTGGCAGGTGTCTGCAGTTCAAAGTCCACTCCGCTAGCACTGTCAGCTGTAACTTTGTGGGAGGGGGGACACAAAAAACCCCCCCAAGCCATAAAGGCATTTCAGGTTTTTAAATAAATGTTTAGCCCTGAAGCCACACAGACAATCAACTTTTTGTGTGCCGGCTGCGTAACACAATAAAATTTAAAGTATACCAAAGGAAGAAGCGTTCCTTCCTCTTTAGTGAAGTCACTCTCCTATTTGAAGTTTAGCAACACTGCCGTGTTGCGTGAGAAGGTGTTCAAAAACATTCCACCATGTCATCTCAAAAGGCTCATGAGTCAAAGGCTACTTATACAGCGAGTTAGCAAATCCAGACCTTGCAGGCCAAGTATGCAGTCTTTTCTTCCCTGCCAAAACGTTAATAAGCAAAGTTAATTAAAAAGCTAATTATTGCACAATCTAGGTGCCCGCTTTGTGCAGGAACTCTATACAGAATCTGGGAACAAACATACATTTTAATGAAAAAAGCAATGTTACATAAACAAATCAAGGACTGGGGAACCATGAGCAAGTACAACAGCTTAAATGTAGTGTGGCATGCATTTTACAAATGTTTGGTAAGTTCCAGGTGGGATGAGACACTGCTTTCACTGGAAAATTCCATCATTTGGCGTTTTATTGATGGTTGCCATAGGCAATGCTCCAAATCCCTAAAAAAACCCCATGTGGTATCAGGTACCTCGGAACGCAAAGGCATACAGCTTACATTGCAGCTTGCTTTTACTTTGTTTGATGTTCAAATGATTCAGTGACCCCACTTGGGTCAGTGTGTTGTCATGCCGGAAGATCTCAGTAACACCAGGAGGAAAAAAAAACAAAAAAAAACACTTCACTATTACACACGATCACTGAAATCACATTTCAGTGATTTATTTAAAAATTGCCCTGGTCTCAAAGAGGTTGAGTGGGTTACATCATGTCAAAGAACTGCACCTCACATCCACAAAAAAAAAACATGGGAACATTTCCATGGTGAAAAACAAGCTCTCAAGCCTGTCGGCTGCTTATGCCGTGTGCCACACATGTTCTCTTGTTCTTGAGAACAGGGTGAAGCATGACTCATCTGACCATATGACCGTTTTCTCCGTTCTCTGCAGAACCTTACTTGCAAGAGTACCTTCCAAGGTGTAATCGCGATGTCCTGTATCACAACTCAACCACTTCCATTTGAGAAGTTTGATAGACTATTGATGAAACTTTGGCTCTCAACAATATACAGCAGAGTGTAATGTGGTACTTCTGCACATCACTCTTATGGTCAGGTACAGAGGAGAACTCTTGGTCTGGACTTTGACTTTCTGGACCTCAACTATTCACCACTGAACTTGACCATAAGAGTGATGTGCAGATGTACCACATTACACTCAGGTATAATAAGTTGCCTGTAATTTAGAATCTGTTTCTCTCCAACTGCTCTTACTTGAAAGATATGTTTGGCCCCTGTCAAACATACTTGTACAAATCAGGTCTAACAAAATCTGTATGATTTCACAACCCATGACACAGAAAACTTTACAAGACCCTTAGGTCAACTTTGGGTACTCACAGCTATGCTGACTTTGCCCAGGATCTCCTCTGGGATTCTCCGAGCCTCTTTCAGCACCTGATCCAGGGAGCCTCCGTCCTAAAGAGAGCGTAGCTATGAAATACTTTATACTGGCTGAATCGTGTATTAGTGTGGCAGCATTAAAACTTATGATAAAGGAAAAATATGTTAAAGGAAAGTAGTTCAACTTGGTACATCCTGACAAAGTTCAATGAAACAACATTCATGAGGCTATAACAAAATGAGGTTTATATTCAGGGTTAAAGTACACATCTAAACCCCCATAAAAGAGGCTCCGTCAACCTCTCCAACCACAACGCCCAGTTGTTCATCAGTTGTCATGTCGGTGGCCTCTTAATAAATTTCCCCGGGCAGCAATCAAGCTTGTGTCCATGTGGCAGCCCACTATACTGACCAAACTGCATTTTCCTACCACCGTTCCACGGCCCAACAAAGTCCGTTCACGGCCCGCTACTGGGTCACAGAACAGCATGGCTACAGTATTGTTTACGGGATAACCTTGCCGGGTTACCATGCCGTACAGATTTTCAAACAGACCTCTAGTTAGCTGCCTCTCCCCCTTGCTTTTCTCACCATGTGCTCCATGCAGATGCTGATCTCGCCATCGCTGTAGAAGGCCCCATAGAAGCCAACGATGTAAGGGGAGTTACATTCATGCAGCACCTGCAGCTCACGGATGATCTGGTTCCTGATGGCCGGCTTGATTTCCAGGTGAATTAGCTTTTTGGGAGTGGGACAAGTAAACAGGCCAGGGTGATATGGTTAGTAGCATCCACCATATTCATACACTCATTCGATGTATGGCTATCCCTTGGAAACATATGGCCAACACCTTTGATATTTAGGTAAACATCTGCCTAAAATACTTGCAAAGATAAAGAAAAAGAAAAAACAAGGTGCAGTATTGCCTTACTCAGATTAAATGACATTAAACAAACAGAGGCTAATCTAGCATGTGGTCTCTCTGATGCTTGGAAGCCTTTCAATGGTTGCTGCCTACCAGCACATAAAGACTCAAGTGAGCGATACACACCAAACACTATTGTTCTAAACAATATGCACTGCTTGGTTTATCTACTGCCTCCATGACCTCGAGTATTTTTGAACCAGGTTTTAACACCATTCCAGCAAATAAGACTATATCGATGGCAAAAGCAGAGTTCTAATAAAACAGTAAAAAGAAGAAAAAAGAAGACAGAAACAAATATGCAAGACAGAAAAAGATAACATGACATAGAAACCAATAAATGTGATTAACAAACGACAGTTATCACATTTTATATATAAGAGGTTTCAGACTGATCTTTGACAACAAATACTATAACTATCCCTGGCTGAACCAATGTAAACATTCTTTAAGTACTTAAACAGAACATTTGCCTAATGCAATTTAAAGAACAATAATTCAATAAAATGTGCTTTATGAGTATGCACTTTTAGTAAAAAAAAATAAAAATAAAAAACATGAGCCTAGCATGTCCTATCTGGCACCTGGCATAAACAATCTGGTCTCAGCAACTTTCGAAGATGCCATGAAGTTTTTTTAGTTACATTTGTCCCATTCCGCCTGCCGTATCCTCATTATATTCAAGGGAGGGTTGAGGTTTGAAGGTGGTGTTAAGTGCTCTTGGATCATTGTGTTGAGTCCCTTAGCAGCAGTGTCTGCCTGCTCATTACCAGACGCATCACTTTGTTCTGGGACCCAAAGGAAACGAATACTAAAGTTTACCAAGGATTGCTAATGCAGCTAAAATCGTTCCGCCTTTGAGGGGGCGTCAGTTTTTGAATACGCCACTGCTTGAAGACAAGAGCCTGGAAAAACTTAAGAAGCCTTTTGCGGTTCCGTAACCTAGAAAACATAAGTTGGGCGGAACGCTGCCATTTGGGAAGGAATTACTCAAAATATAAGAAACAGAAATAATGTAATAGTGGTACAATATTATAATACAGTAACTACACAAAAGAAGTAGAAATGAAGCATGAGATGTAAACTGACATGTTTATGGCGCTAATTTGACATCCGGACATGAAGAACTGCCACAGTTCATAGAGTTCATCCCTGTCTACCACATAGAGCCAAAGGCCCATCAAGCACAACCAGGAGGCTTGGGGAAGTCCTGTGTTTGAAAGGCTCCCCCCAGAACCCCATCCCTGTGTACTGAGCTCACCTTCCTGGCCATGACCAACCCCGTGGGTCTATGTCGGACCTTCTTGACCACGCCTCCATTGCCCGCTCCCAGCTCGCAGATACGGTCAAAGTCATCATCCTTCAGCTCCCCCACCTTGGCCTTCTGCGTGAGGAAAGCCTCCAAGCGCTTTCTCTGCTGCTCGTCCAGGTCCAACTCCCCCAGCTTCTTCTGAAGGGCTTCCAGGTTGGCCCTGACATCAGCAATGAGGAGAAACCATGCTGAAAAGCTCTCTTCAATTCAATTAATGACATAAAGCAAACAAATATAAATTGATATAGGTAAAATATTTGGGGGGGGGGGGGGGGAAGTGTTACTAATAAAAAGCAGAGCTCCGCTACAGCTCTTTACTTCCTATAGGCATTATATGTACAGGATAGTAGCATTTAAAGTAGCCGAGTGCATCTGTGTAGTTGCAAATGCCATTCTTCCGCTATGCATTTGCTGTGAGTAGTACTCACTCAGATGCCGCATCGATGGTTGTGGAGCCAGACTGTCCCTCTCCGGCAGGCGTTATGGTCAAGGGATCCGGTCTCTTTTTTGGAGCCATGTCTAACTTAAGTGACTTAGGAGTCCCCTTAAGACGGAGCTAGCTCGCTGGCAAATTATTTGCAACTACAGAAAACGACAAAATAACCCGTTATTTGGAAACAATACCCAGTTAAATACCTATTGCTTATTTTGGTTTTTAATATTCATAAACTCGCTATCCAGACTGTTTTTAACATGTCATATGCTCTAAACCTATGGCTTCATATCTCTGAAAAGGGTCACTCGTCGGCTGAATTCTTCTAGTGAAATTAAGATGTATTTTTAACTTTAAAGGATCGCTAAACTGCTAAAAACGGTTATTTGAACAAGAGGAAAACAGCTGTTAGCAGAAAGCATCGCCGCCAGTCGCCTCGTCTTCCTCTCCGGATAGAGAGCCCTGTCTTGGGCTTTTCTCTAGCGGCCCTTGCTAGTTTAATATTAGCGGATACCGGTAAATGCCGGCGGATGACAGCTGGCACACCGGTCCGTTAACGATCGGCCCTAACATAGAAGCATCGGGCTATGCATTTGGAGATGAGGGCGTAGTGCGAGGTTTACAGGGATTTTTCTTGAGTGGCCGGTAGCGACTCGTTTCGGGACCCGGTTCAGGAAGCCGCAACTATGCAGAGATGACTTTAAAACTCGCGAGATCACGCGTCTGCTCTTCCAGGAACCCCCGGCTGGGTTGAAATATCGCGATTCTTCAGCTGTAGCTGCCTTCCAAACTTTTTGACTAGTCCCGCCCCTCCGAATTCAGCGCATGCCGGAAGTTTTTATACGTCATGACTTAATTAATAGTTCATTCACGACGAGTGACCCGAGTGTGATGTGGTAGTCGATGTTACAGTGTTATTATATTATCTGATCTTATTGTTTTAGGTAGATGGATGCTTGTTCTGCTGTATTACGGAATCCAAACCACTCCGGCCACGAGCTGTTCTTACTCCTGGAGTCGGGTAGGAGGTTTCGGAGAATTATAATGCCGAGCACCAGATTCAAGAACGTTTAACCCCCATTTCGTCCACATCACATCTGTCTGAATTTGGACTACTTTTGTATGCAGTATCACTCGCAACTGTTTATGTGAATTGTATTGTCTAAATGTTGCATGTTTCCATAGGACAGTTGCACGTCTGTCGTCTATTTGTAGTGTGGGTGTCAATTTGTCCTTGGTGGGTCCCTCTGGTCTGAACGAGCAAGTTTCCAACGCAAGTGGCCGATTAAAAAGTTGATCATATTAATTCGTTTTTTTTGCGTTATAAGTCGCAAATTCGACAAGCACACATAACCTTTAAAGGCAGGCTGATGGAAGACTTTGACCGTACAGCTCCTGGCGGACTGTGCGCCTACTGTTAACTGTCCAACACTTAAGTACAATGCGCTGATTTAAAGGAGAGTTTATGCAAAATCCTGGACATAAGAAGAGTATTATGAGTTTGGAATTCGTATTTTAAACAAATTGTGTTTAAACTCCGAATAATGTGTACAATACATGATTTAAAGGATGTTTCGCTGGTGTTTACATACACTAAACGGGGTTTGGAAATCATTAGTGAACTACAATTATAAAAATCACTAATTATTTATCTTCCCCGTTTGCCGTATCGATTTTCCTTCGAGATATTACACGTAGGCTTACTGATAATATTGTTAATCTTTTCAAGACTACTGGTGTTAGAAAAGAAGCTTCAATACCCACAGTGGCTATAGGGCTATCTGTGCGTTCTCAGGGTCTGCTTTATTTTCAGGGACGTTATTTACAGTACACAATGATACCAACACATCTCATTTTCCGAGAAAAACTTTTTTTTTTAAGTTTAAACACTAGTCTCCATTAGCGCACAAAATAATACGCATCTACTTTTGCTTGTACTAAAATAAATAGCAGGACAAATGTAATGTTTTAAAATTTGTTTAATTTGTAATTTTACATGTAAATAACAGGTTTTAGCACGTCGCTATGTAAAATTCGAATCTTATTTGCCATTTACACAGATGGCACAACAACAACGGTATCCTCTAGAGATCCCCCCAGACCATTCAGTAGCACACATGCTTACAGCTTTATGTATATAAGCCATACTAACTAAAACCTGAGTCCTGTTTTCTGAGTGTTTGCCTATCGGAACAACCGGAGTCAAATCAGAGCTTGATAAAATATTATTTATTCATTTTGTTGGCTTTTAATATGAACATATAAAAAGACACAACACACAAAACATTTACATAGGGAATAGTAAGCCACTGTCCATGGCACCATAGGCATTGCAATACGGGATCCAGACAGGCCAATATTCTCCCCTTGTTTCGATCCTCCCCCTCAATTTCAACTAAGAACAGTCCCGTTCTGAAAAACTCTACAAGGACCTATTTTCATTTCAGTTATGGACACAAACCGGATATTAGTTGTGCAATGGTAGTCAAGGTTTAAAACAATTCAATAACAGAACCATTTTTTTAATTTATTTTTTTAAATCAGCTGTACTAAAAGCATGGATAAGACTTCAGAGGAAATGAGTTTCTATTTAATATGTAATTAAGAGGTTATTTTGATCAACTTCACAAGTCAAAAGAAGAGCCTGGCTGCGTGAATCGTCAGACAGGCTGAGAGGCGTTCACAGGAAACAACCTACAAATTATATTCTTAAATCTTTTGCTAAATAATTATGAGGGGCCTATAGATCTCAGCTATCAAAAAAGTGGCTTTATTAGAAATGGACAATGATGTAAAATGAGAATACAAGGTTGCTTTTCATTTAAGTCGGGTATTAATCAGCACGAATGGTAGATTCACGCACATAGGCATCTGAAGATTGAAGTTGTTGGAAAAGTCTATTACAATTAGCTACAATATACCGTTTCCACCAATGTAAGCCCTTATGGATGTTGTACAATTACACACAAGGACTAACTATTACCCTAGTGAACTACACGGCCTTCATTGTGTAACAACGCCAGCCAAAGTAAGCCGCAGCTTGCAGTTATTATTCTTAAAAGAACAAGCCTTTAAAATGATCTGACGGAAAAAGAAAGGATCTCGTCATATACATTAGCTGTAGTAGCTGTTTCACAACTGGCAAACCTTTTCTCTAAAGGGAACATTGGGAGTTGATGCAAGTGCTTGAAGTTCAGGAATGAATGAGGCCAAGGATTTCATAAAATTTCAAAATTTGCAAAATTTGAAAAAAAAGCAACAAAAAAAAAAAGCACCAAGACCCAAGCTGATCATACCGATACGTCAATTAAAAGTTGAACTCTACTACAGCCATTTCCACAAGGGATATCCATCATCACAGTAGGGAAATGGTCCGAATTTCATGCTTATCCCAGTCTGATGTAGTTCAAATGTACCAAGAGAGAAGCAGAAAGGTGGTTACAAGGCACATCTGATGGTTCTGTCTATATGGAAGCCTTTTTGGACCACCCTTAATTTACAAGTATGTCTGATGGCCTACAAAGCTGAAAATAAAACAGCCAGGCATATACAAACAAATGAAACTCAGTCTCAAGGACATGAACGCCATCATATCAATTAAAACACCAATTAACCAAAAATCGTACAACTGAAGAATATCTATGAATTCTCGCCTCCTAATGCATATTCCGAAGGTCTTATTCTGCTACTGTAATCAGACTGAGTGCAGATCATTTATTGCCCTTTCTTTCAATCTTCAGCCATTAAGGTGCGTGCACACCACGCCAGCATAACCAGATGCCATTTCCTGTAGCTCGATCTTTCACAAAGAAAACCTCAGTACCAGAAGGTCAAAATACCCTTCCCAGTTCAAAGCCTAATAACATTCAACTGCAACAATATAATCAGCAGCAAACTGCTTCCTGTAGAAGTACGGGTTTAAGATAAAATGGACATCGCAGCCCAGTTCTGATCATTTTATGGTGAACTGCGCTGTCCATTTGAGATTCTTTACCGAGTCCAAAAACAGATCCAATGCCCCAAATTCAAAATGTCATGAACAGTTCACAACGTAGCACATTTTGTAATGTAACAGTAAGTGAAAGAGAGAACTTCAAAATGTTACCAATGCTGTTGTATGGAATCCCACTTAAAGTCACTGTAGATGTTGGCTAACCTGTAACAGGCAATGATTTCAAGAGGACAAAACACAGAATGGATTATCGACTTCCATCAACATCCTCCTCTAGGCTTTAACTTACCGGGATTAAAATATGTTTAAGAAAAAAAAAAAAAAAAAAAAAAAACACCAGCATTTTCACACATACAAACATGGAAATAAATAACAGAAATCAATTTCATAAAATGTGCCAAATGTTCATAATACTTTACCATTAAAGTTATTGCAGTTCACCAAATTATAGAAAAAATGCTTTTTTTGATCAAATGTATTTATGAAAATATGGATATCGTAATTAAAATGCTGAACAGATAGTGCGACACCCAACCATTATTTGTATATGTGAGCATCCCAATAGAAATTTGGCATGTGACAGCAGACGAACCAGTAAGAAAGTAGATTACATTTAGCTCCACTGTCATCATGCCCCAATGCGGGCGGATCTCCAAAAAGGAAATGGACACCCTCTCCAGTGTGACTCAAAAAACAAAAAAAAAGAAGAAAACTCCAGCCAGAATTTTTCAAATGATATCTCCCCATCAAGTTTGTTTTGACTGAGGTAGGTTGTCAGTTTCTAGGACCAAAATAAGGAAGGATTTGGACAAAAGAAAAGAAAAAAAAATAGACTTAAGCCCCATGCAATTTTATACCACATCCTATAAGTATAATGAAAGTGAAACTGAAATATGCTTTAGAGATTCACTGCTTGCAAGGTCTCAGTCCTCAAATACACTTCCTACCTTGCGTGTAATTTAGTCGTCAAAGGTGAAGGAAACACGTTTTATGGCTCTTATAGCAGGAGTACAGGCTATGGGGAGGAGGGAGATAAAAACAGAGGGGAGGACAGAAAGTGGGAAAGAGCTACTCATGTCCATCTGAAGTTAGTGAGATGTACATCAGTAAAATAACAGGCCATGAGGAAGAGTAGCCTATGGATCACGTGGCTTCTGCAGTGCTATAGTGAAGTCAGCTGTGTGTGTGTGTTTGTGTGCGCGTGAGTGTGTGCATGTGTGTGTGTAAAAGGGGGGAGGGGGAGTAGGTCAATTTGAACCCTCCACAACTCTACTCAAACCCCTCACTCAAGTCTGTAGGTCCAGGAGGTCAGTAAGCAGTGACCAGATCCTTATCGTAGTCATAGCGGCCTCTCTTCGGGGCAGGGTTGTCCTGACTGTCGTCCGTGTCTTCGCTGTCCCCCGTCGGCCCGTCCGCCTCCTCCTCCTCCGAGGAAGAGTCCAGAGTGAGGTCCACCACCGCGCCGGCCCCGGTTCCAGTCGGGGCGGCGAGAGTGCCCGCGGCGGACTTGGCAGGCTGGCTGGTGACGGTGGGGGCCGGGGAGTGACCGTTGGCTTCCGGAGAGCCTGAGAAGACAGACAGGAGCCGTGAGTGGCAGCCTGCTTGACGGCCCGTCCCAGTCCTCCTTAACAGCAGCACAACGCGAGCTAACAGGCTACTTCTCACTACAGACTCTCTGTGGCCCGAAAGAAAACGGCACACATCCAGACACGGAGAAGCCATCTTGTAACCGTGAGAAATCTGAGCACCACTGCCATCAGTGCAAGGCATCAGTCACCTACAGCACAAAAAAGCATCACGAGTATAGAAGAGTGAGTGAATGCAAACCCCAAATATTCAGCATGACTGCTCCCTCAAGGACATTCTTCCTATTAAAAATAACAATGATGTCCTGTCACATCAGAAAGTGTTACTTGATGTATAATATTGAACCATGTGAACTCAATAAATCTGGCTTTAAATTCATAAAATCAGCACAATGTATTTGCAGCGCTATTCAAATCATGGTTCTCGGGACCGAGCACTGCTGATTTTCAAGCCTTATTTTACCCGTGAGCCAGGTGTGAAGCCTCCTTGACCAATCAGAATCAGTCATTATTAAACTAATTACCTTGGAGAACGGAAAACAACTGAAAACCCTGGAATTGAGGTCCAGAGTTGAATAGCCCTGGTGTATAGTATCAATGCAATTTATTTAGATTACATCAGAATAAGCAGTGTTTGTCATTTTCATTTGTACAATCTTACAAAAAAAAAAAACTCAGTAAGCTAACCTAGGTTTGGTTAGGAAGCAACTAGTGACTGTATTCGGTGTTGGAAAAACCAAGACCAGTCAACAACAATAGCAGACAAACACAGAGAGCGAGTTATTCTCCTGAGTGAGGAGCTCCAGCCACCTGGATTTCTAATTCTTGTGAACTCATGCACTCAAGTTTTAAAACTTGGGAGAAAAAAAAAAAAAAGAAAAAAAGGACAGGACTACACCTTCATGTCGTCTAATCCTAAATTTCCCATGAAACACTAGTGCTATAAAAAGATCTCAGTAACAGTACAAAGCTTGCTGGGAATTTCTATGAAAGCTACTGCAAACTACAAGACATGACCCAGATACTAGGAAATGAAACAAAAATGCTCATTCTACTACTTAATAAAGAAAATGCATCCACATCAAATAACCACATACTATGCATGCAAAGCATCATGCATCCTGATCTATCATAGCAATGTGAGATGTTGCTCTCAGAAAATAAATTGCATGGTTGGCGGATTTCGCCAAAGACTTGGGGCTTACATATATGCAGCAGCGGATACTCAGGTGTGTGGCTGCGCTCCCGCTCCCTCTCCTTCTCCTTCTCATCCCGGATGGGCCTCCAGGAACCGTCTGTAAGGTACTCGATCTCCTCCACGTCCTCGGTCTCCTTCAAGATTTCAGACAGCAGCCTGTGCCATGGAAACGTCCGTTAGGGTTTTTCGGCCTCCCCGGACGCGCGCGTGTCTCTTCGTTCGCGCCGCTGCCCACTGAGCGCACACTCGTGTCACATGACCTAGATTCAGGTCAACTGAGGGATGTGCAGCAAGGCTGCGCAGAAACTTTTGTGCAAACTTCCATGTGCACCTCGAAGACAGAAGGGGGTCAAACCAACCATTTCACCTGCAGGATTATTATTATTCTACCGATGACTAAACCTCTTCTCAAGAGGGTTCCCAGTCCTACTCCAGAGAATGTGTGCACTCATTATGTCATTCAGTTTGCCCTGGCCGTACACATCACGAAGCTCATCAGCTCAGATTATAGAATAACGTTAAACCACATCCAGAATTTGGCGCATACCTCAGTCCATCATTTTTAAAAATCAGACACTAGAGTCAAACCACAAATCCACATCTACGCAAAATCACAAGTCCATCAGTCCACATCTATACAAAATCATTCAGCCAGAAATCCTGTTGAACAATCCCACCCACCCCCCAAAATCCAAAAGGTCATAGGTTTAGCTCATGCTCAGGAGAGGATAGCAAAGCAGGAAATGAACCAGCCTGCAGAACCGGAGTCCTCTATGCGATTGGATGCCAGAGGTCTGCTTACCCATCGATGGTGAGCAGCTCGAAGGGCGCAGGCTTATCGCACACGGGGCAGGTCCACGTGGGCTTCTTCTCATTCATCTGCAGGAAGAAGACCGCGTCGAAGCACTGCAGGTGGGCGCAGGTCAGGACCCGGCATGGTACATTCAGACGCATCTTCACCAACTGGCCGCAGGGGAAAAGTCAACACGCGAGTGAGTTAACCATATGCAACAACAAACAGGATGCCAAACCATATATAAAACAAACACCAGGATAGCAGCACGCCCCCTGCTGGACTGGAGGTATGAACAACACACAGCAATGAAGAGGAACAAGGACTTACAGGGCAGATGAGTGACACTCGCAGCCCTGTGGTAGCAATCTCACTTTCTGGGTCAAAGCGCAGCTTGTCCTGGACTGCAAAGGGCAGGGGGGGCACAGCAGTTCGTTTTAGTACAACACCTGATACCAACATCCATTCCATAAGCACAAGTCGCACCAGTAAGCACTCCACGAGAGATCTGCACCGTGTGACCTGAAAGTGTGACACACACACACACACACACACACACACACACACACTCCATACTCACTGCGCTCACGGCAGCGGTCGGCACTCTCCACCGAGCAGAGCTTGAGTTTGCTGAAGAGATCCGCCGCGGTGAAGACTCTCACCAGGTAGACCGCCACGCAGTACCGCTACACACCAAAAGGGGGGGACACAGAAGACAGGAGGGTGGGGTTGGTGCCACTAGCAGACCTTGCCTTGGGACTGGACATTTTTATTTCCCCCATTCAATCCTGCATTTGCTTTACATATGTAGAATGATATGTTGCACAACCTTTTGATAGTTGCATGTATTTTCCACAATATCTCTGAATCTGGTCCTCCAACACCAACTATAAATATACACACATATGCATACCAGATTGTGTGTATTGGACATGTGCTTTAACTTATTGAGTAATTCCCAGCTTTCTAAAAGCAGCAATATTTTATTTTTTTTTCTCTCTAATGCATTTCCCTAATGGATTAACCATGCATTTTCAACTCCCAAGTGGGTTGTATATAGGGGTGTATATTAGGGCTTAAGTTCAGATGATGGAAGACCTTGTCATTGAAGGGGGAAAACCATGAGTGCAGCACCGCACATTTCCTTGCTGACCGCGGTCACTGGTTTCCACGGCGTGACCTTTCACACATATCCTCTGACGGCGGATTCTCGCAGAACAGCAGGCTGAGGCAAACAGTCATGCCTGCCGCATCTCACAGACGAAAACCACAAACTATCGAATTTTAGATAATGCCCCAAATCCGATATCAACTGACAACAGTGATACCGAGTGCAAGCACCAACATACACAAGATTAATTATATCTGTGTCAAACAAATATGCGTTTAACTCAGAGTTTTTTCCCCATCGTAATAATACGAATGACATCACAAAGCATTATATAGGCCGACTCAGACACGCGATTTTGAACATGCCAATAAAACAGCGTTAGAGGAGCCATCGTTGAAAATAGACATTAAAGCATAATACCAGCATAACCACACACCAAGCAGGCATACCTTTCCGAAGTTTCCCCAGGTGACGGTGATACGGTTGAGGGCGGTGGACAGGTGTAACCAGGGCGTGATGTTGACGGGGCGACACGGCCGGCGGGGCTCTACACCCGGCTTGTTTGAGGGGTAGTAACCCTGCATTCAGGGGGTAAAACCCCGAAGGAGAAGATCGGCTGATTAAGAAGGAAAACTGCAACAGCAAACCTTATACCACGGCTTTGGTAAATACCATTTTCTTATTGGCTTGGAGATGTCACATGGGTGTTTACTACTGTGTAACTGCACAGGTCGGTCTGGCAGCCTAATAGTTTTATATTAATAATTTCAATTTCACTCAGCATATATGTTTACAATGTGTGACTTTTTACTCAAATTAGCAGTCAGTCTTATGAGACACAAACACACACACTGGAGAACAGTTCTGCAAATTATAAGTTCACATACTGCTTTTTCCACTGTATAAAAGTGAATCTGGGGGGAAAAAAAAATCAGATTCATTCCACAGCGTGAGGGGTTGGACTATTATACAGATCAAAGCTTTGAATACCAGAGAGAAATGCTGAGCATTTTATAGTATGGTATTTATTAGACATGAATCTGCATTCAATTAATATCAAGGGGATCCATCATGTATCCTGCAAAACTGTTTGGAGATTTTAAACTTCACAAGGCCGATACATAAAAAGGGTGTAAAAATGTAATGTCCCAGTGTTCTTTTAAGGCAGCTCATAGGGCCAAAGACCCAAGTAAAAGTATGCAGGTGTCATTAAAGAGAAAGGGGAGGAGGGAGGGGGGGAGGGTGAGTGTGTGTAAAAACAGACAAGGTGGCTCAATTTGCTTTTCACAATGAAGTGGTACAATATGACATAAGATGGTGGAGGTCATTTTGCACACTGCATGTGCATCTTCACAGACAAAAATCACGTGACCCACTAAAGTCACTTTAGTACCAAAGTCATTTTACAAACCGCCGAGTCAAAAACAAAAATCACTCGACCGAAACACAGCATGCAACTTACTGTCACACTATACTCCACACTAAAATAAAGCTCTGTTCTCTGATCAGGCTGAGAAATACAAATTGATTACTTGTTTTAACTTGCTTTGCCCTGAAAGGCCCCGAAATCCGATATCAGAATCCTTGTTGAAACGGCAGAGAAATACCACGTGCTAATGGGCTTCATCAGTGAATGGGAAATCTTTAAAATACTACAGCTTCATTGAGGAAGCTGGGAGCTTCACATCTACTTACAGGGACGTGACAGTAGGACTGATTAACTTTGACTGCAATATTTGGGGGATACTGATCCTCTTGAACGCCAACAGTGTCTGTGTAGCAAATTCTAGCAAAAAAATAAATAAATAACAGTAAGTACACAGAAAACAGGAAAAGAGGAAATGGCCTGTACTTTCCAATACTGCACTTCTGCATTCTGCACACGACCTATTTTACAAACCAATTACTGCTTCGCATGGATGCGTCAGTTTTAAATGAAAACAAAAACATATCTACTAGCTCATGCTGCCCTTAAACAATGGGTAACTAATAGGTGAATTTAAAAGACACAGATAACATGAAAGCCTTTCTCCAAAAAAAAAAAACCTCTTGCAATCTCACCTAAGTACCACCTGGACTGATTTGATCCCTGGACGAAGCTCACTGAAATAATAATTTTTAAAAAGAGTGTAAAAACACAGTCATTCCAAGACCAGCATCTACATATTATTCCACAGTATAAAACTCAATATGATAGCAGTTAAACATGTAAGGTTATCTATAGGTCAGTTTCAGATGTTTCTATACAGGAAAACCTAGACCCTAAGCCACACTCACCTGGAGTTTCTGATCTGGTCCACTTGGCTCTGTGTCAGTTCGAACACGCATGGGCTGTCCTGCAGCTTCTCACTGTTCTGTGCAACTGCAAGGACAGAGAGGCAAGGAAGAGCTGTGTCCATCTGAACCAACAACAAAAACCATCCAGGAAGAGTGATGAAGAACGAAAGGCAGACGTGGTGCTGTCTGAAAGCTGGAATCTCGAATTGTGTGTGAATTAATAATAGATATTCCCAAGACAGATATGTTGGAGAAAGAATCTCCTAGGAGTATTGTTACCAGCCTCGCACTGATCAATATCAGTTTTTTCAGACATAAAACACACACTGCCATCACTCTAGCAATTTCCTCCTGATCACTGAACGATGTGTATGGTTTCATCACTAACAAATTTCACACAAAACAACTCACGCAGCTCTGTCGGGGGCACCAGTGTCTCCAGAGTTTGGTAGAAGGGCAACGAGACCAGCTTTATTTCTGAGGCAGGGGTGGGAGATGGCTTTGGGAGGCCATTGAGGTAGTCTGTGCCCTGCGCATTGGTGGATGGCGAGGTGCTACGAGTGGATTGGGTCACCGGGACCACTTCGGGCCGGCGTGCTGGAAGCCAGCCTGTCGCCTTGGGGAAGCGCGACTCATAGAGCTGGCGGACGTTTTTCAGCAGTTCGGGGCTATATTCCGTCTGTACCAGTCTCAAGGCCCTTCCCACCAGGTCCTGCTTCAGGCCACTTTTACTGCGTCCCATGGAAGCCAGCAGTGTCTGCAGGTCAGACACTCTGAAACTCTTCACCATGTTCTAGTCGTGGCCGGAGCGAAGTCATCAAAAGGGTGGAGAAGAATGGAGGAAGACAACTTTAAGATACTGATATTCTGATAAACGCCATTAAGTGTTTTATCTAAATTAACATGGAGGATTATCGCAGAATCAAAATGACATTATACAGTTCGAAAAAAGCAATAGTAGTTCATAATCAAAAGAGCATCCCAAGTTACAGTGACAAGGCTTCCTACTTTAGAAACGAATTGCTATCTACGTCAGGTGAATTAAATGCTTCACGAGGTAGGTCGCAAATATTAAAAGACATCATCATTTATTTGAAGTAGGTTAAGCAAAACGAAGCATCTATCAGTTAATACCAGCTTTTACAAAACGTTACTTTCCAAAGATGTACACTTTAAACTAATTGCTATTGCTACCGCTCGCTAGCCATGCATGTTCCATAAATCAATGTCATTCAACCGATCTACCCCAGCACCGTCACTCAATGAGAACCCATTGTTCTATTAACCGTGCTAATAAACACGATCCCCGCAGTCCAGGAGTCCGGCCTGGACTCCAAGGCTGATGAATTAAGCTCCCAAGTTGCACTAAAGATGAAACCCGACTGTGCGTGTTGTCACGAAGCGCACAAAATGTGGCACATCACGCAGACACACTTCCCGACAGTGTGCGAGCACTGAAATACTCTCCTTTTCCTCTTAACGGGCATGCTATTGTCAAACGTATCGCAGCGTGTGATAGTAACACACGATGACACGATGAGGAAGCACAACGTAAGGATAACGAAGATAGCTAGCTAGCTAATGTAGTTTCGCGCCGACTCCCTGCAGGCGATTGTTTTTATTTATGGTCTCATCATTCATTTCCCATATGCCCCATTGCCTAGTCGTACTTGACAGCGCAAGCTACTCCGTTTCACAGCTCCTATTTTTATAACAAACCCGGGAGGCCTACAATGCACCTACTGCCCGTCTCCCTTAATATCCGCACGCAAACCCGCAACACCCTCAGCGTCTCCTCGGTTAACCCGGACAAACGGAGCTCAACTTGCCATTGCTTCCACCAGCTCGGCCGCCATCTTCGCGCAGCAGCCCCGCGAGAGCCAAAGCTGAAAGGCAGTCGTTCGCCAATGAGAGGCATCGGGATCACGTGTCAAAGTTTAGCCTCCACCAATCAGCGCCGGCGTACGTCACAAGATGGACATGATCCGCGCATCAGTGTAGACTGTAGAGAATGTATGGGATTGGAAATGCAATGGGCTGTGAAATGATTCGCAGTGTGCGCATGTATAGGGTCCCATTACCCTGAACCATGTCTGTCTTCTCATATAAAATACTCCCGATTGCTGATTCTGCTTATGTTGCTTTTTGTTTCAATCAAGTTTTCATATGAGAAATTATGTAGCGTTTAGTAACGTAGGAAAGGTACGTTGTGCGTAGTGTAAGTTAAATGGGTCATTATGAGTTGTTTAATTTTTGCACCTCAAAATGCAACAAAAAACAAAATCACTTGTACAAAATGTACAATTAATGAACCCTTATATTTAAATATTGTAGTATTACAATATTACATACCACCCCCACCCCCCCCCCCCCCCCCCCCCAGTGTGGTTATAACAAACGGAAGTGGAACAAACTCAATACTGTGAAGATGACAGTGACCTTATATGGAACCCCCCCCCCCCCCAACACACACACACACACACACACACACACTGCCCCCTCCCATACTCAATAGCACTGTGTCTGCCATGGAAACTGAAATGGGAAACCAACATAAACTATGATAAAAAAAAAAGGCCCAGCGGAGGAAGTTCGACCTGTCCCAGGAGCTACTGATCAATTTCTATACAGTAACTATCCATTTTGTCCTCTTTTTATCCATCTCAGTCTGATTTAGATCAAGCACCAAAAAAAAAAATAAAGATCAGCCTACATCCAGAGGTGGACAGTTCGGGTTCAGAAAGTACAAATCCAGACCAAGATTTTGTTTCAACCAAAGAGTTCAGAGTTGAGTACTCTGTGAAGGTGACTCTTTTTGCTCAACTGATTGGCTGAAATAAAATTTTGGTCTGGATTTTGGTCTGGGGTGGGGGGGGGTGATTCAAAAGTTAGGATGATTCAAGGTCCTGAGTGACAGGGGCCCTAAAAGAATTTGGAACATAATTTGATTGGTCTGGGTTGAGGGCTAAATATGATTTCGTGGGGCCCAAAATCTCTAGTGGCACCCAGAACCTGCTACCCCTCTAGGACCCATACTCACCCCGAGTCAGGAATCGGGCAGGGAAAATCATCGCAGACCCCCCACAACCAGGTCACATCCTCTTTGAACTTCTCTCCTCTACAGACCACTGTGTGCCAAAAGAAACAGGCATGAGGACAGCTTCTTCCCACAATCCATCACTCTCAGGACCCAGCTGCCTCAGCTCAGCTGCACTGTCACCCTCTCATTACCGTGCAAAACCTCAATGTTGTAAGTACTTATTTTATTGTGTTGCACATATTATATTCCTTTCAGCATTCCTTTTAAAACTGCTATCAACCATACATGCACATTGCATATATAAACCCGACTTTATGTGACTGTCATATTGTCTTGTACCTAATGTACTAGAGCCACTGACAACCAGAGACAAATTCCCTGTGCGTGTGAACATACATTAATAATAAATCTAATTCTGATTTCACCCTCAACTTCTATGCATCATCTAACCACTGATCCAGTTCGGAGACTGGATGAGTCTGTAGGCTACCCCAAGAAGCACAAGGAACACTGTAGGAGTTAATTACATGGCTCACAATCACCTACACACAGATTCTCATATACTGCAGGCAGTACAGAGACACCCATACAGGGCACTCACGTGACTGGACCGGAAATCCTTGGAAAACGGTGTATCCGGGTTCCCTTAAAATGCAGCCTGTTTTGTGACTGAAACAAAGCACTGCCTCATCAGTGCCGGTCCAGATTCTACAAAGCAAATATAGTGCATATTTCACCCATATTCATGCTTTGAAAGGCTTTAGAATTGGCTTAATGGCCCCAAACACGTAAATTGTAACGTTAAAAGTATTAACATGTTAATACTTTGTTCATGTGTATTTATCTATATTACCTTATAGTGAGGATCTGAAATCTAGAGAGTTTGTAACAAGAATGGAAACTGAATTAAACACCACTTTTCTTTATTATTACTTTGGAGCTAATTTAGCTCACACCCATTTATATAAGTGAGGTTACGCTGATATATCAAAACAAAATCTTTAATTGGACACATACATCCTTAAAAACGTCAAGACAGAAATTAAGCAACCTTGGAACTGAACATATTGTCAGATCGATGAGAATTTAGAGAAAAGCTCAGTCATGTTTGAAAAAATGAAGGATAAAAACAATAAAAACAGGTCATAAAATGAAAAATGAAACTGCAAATAAATTAGGATAGTTAACAAATACAAAGTAGAAAAGAGTCAAGTGGGGTAAGAAAGGGTAACAACAGGATTTGCAAGTAAAGATTAGAGTGGAAATGCTGCAGAGTCGTCCAATATTTGTACTCACTCCAAGGAGTAGGTTTAACATGCCATATCAAGGTTCATTGGGTTTAGAAGCAGTACGGTGCAGCACATGCTATAAAGAGCATTTTGTAAGAGAGGTGTGGTGCATAATTTAACTCTTTAAGGTATCTGTTCATCCAGTGAATGTTCTGGCCTCAGCAGACTACAATGCTTAGCTCCAAAGTCATTTTCTTCACCTAGGTCAGGTAACAAGCCTTGCATCTGTGTTTGAGTATTATATGCTCCAAAAAGGGCCGTTGCGTCTTTAAGATGCGTCAGCGTGCCACTCCTGGTTAGCAAATGAGCAACACGTTACACCTGTAATAGTTGAGGACATAGGTTCCCTGGGGCCCCCAGTGTGTGGTGGTTTTTGTTTCAACCAGTAATGAATTGCTCAGGTTTGACTGGGGTGGTACAGTTACTAGATGTCACAGCTGAAATGTGATACAGGTGACACTGGTCTTTTTTTAAATACAGTTTGGCTGGTTTAGAGGATTCACTCCAATGAGCTGCTTTAGAATTGAGCTGAAATGGTGTCTTGTCTGAACAAATTTAGGGGTCATCTTGGGTAAGCAGTACTGGGGCCATGGAGGTGTGGATCTTTTTTATGCAATTGTACGTCCATACAATGGAACAAATGTGGTCTATTATGTATGTCTGCTGTATTGTATTTCCTTTATTCCCTTTTAGGTTTTTCCTCTTGTATCTTAATTTTTTATATGTAATTGTATAAAATAAAAGGATCCATCTCTTTTGCAGCGCAGAATAAGGGGGGAGGGTGGAGCCTATCCCAGGCACCACTGGGTACATGGCAGGCAGATATACTGCATGGGATGCCAGTGCATTGGAGGGTACAGCATCACTTGATATGGGTAATTTACAGATGCCTGTTTGCCTGATTGCTGGTTTCTGGACTGTGGGAAGAAAGTGGTGTAAACAAAGGAAACGCCACACAACAGAGGGAGGACACACACACACACACACACACACAGGTTTGTAATTATACCTTTGTGGAGACTCGCCATTCATTTCTATGGGGAAAACTCTAATCCGAACATGACGACCTTAACCCCTACCTAGCCCTAACCCTAACCATAAGTAACTAAACAAAATACAAGACTTTTGGTGTTTTTTTTTTTGCTTTTTGATTGCATTCACAGATCTTTGTGGGGACCTGAAAATGAAGATGATTCTAATATTCAGTTTTACCTTTAAATTTTATTTGATGTGGTTCTATAAATAAATATGTAACTTCATAAATAAATATATAGCAACTAAATATGTTTTTCTTTTTTCTTTGACGAGAACATATAAAAACCAGTCGTACTGAACGGTTCTCTTGAGCACCAGTTGTGTGTTTTGCTGAAAAGCCATACAATGTCTTGGCCACGACTTCTATTTCACAATTTATTTTTCCCCTCACGGCCCTTCGGGGCTCGTTAGGTTCGGTACTAATGGTGGTACTCTAAAAATAATCTGGAAACACCGATTGTGAGATGACGACACACTTCTGCAACGCAAGTACGGCCAGTAGAGGGAAACAGAGCACTGTCTGTCATCTCGCACGGAAAAAGGCCTGCAATACCATTTAGCACAGTAAACCCAAAATGCGTCGTTCACGGGTTAATAATATGATTTCGCATTACAGGAGGGTGGATACGGAATGTAAGATAATAGAAGAAGAATGGATGAATACAGGATTTGCTGTTTTATGTTCATTATGAACTCAATGTAATTATTTGACACTAACTATTGATAGCGGATATGTACATTAAACACTATGCTGATTCTGCGTTTATTTGGTTCTCAACTAAAAGTTTTGAAATCAAAGCTCCATGAATGTTATGTCGTGAAATTTCCGTGTTAAGATAAATTTTATTTTTCATAAATTTCTATGTTTCATGTTTCACCATCAGCCGCAAATCAGCCCGACATCCGGGTTACTCTGATATTATAAATCGGGACGTGCTGCGTCTGTTGCGGGCGGTTCAATTGCCCCACAGCGTAGCCGACTAATGTTAATAATGAAGGAGGTAAACTCATCCACGTACTTGGGGATAATATCAAACAAGTGAACTTGTGCAGTTTGTTATTTATGATGTTACAGTAAAAACTGGAGTGGGATTTTATTTCACAACGCAAAGTTGTTTCAAACACCTGGTTGAGGCGTCGAAGCTACAGCTTAAAGCTACAGACTCCTTTGAGTAAACTTTATTCCATTCTGCTAATCAATATATCCTCCTGAGACCCAAGGAAAAAAATGTCCTTCAATTGTATGTTATTTGTCTTTGGAGGAAATAAGACATCTTACATTTTAGGTTTTTTCAAATTTATTTTTAATTTCACATCATGTCCTCTATAGTGTACAACAGGAATAAATGTTTCCTTACATCAGTGAAAAGATAAATGCAAAAACAAAATGTCCACTACAATGGATGGGTGGGGTCTCAGGAGGATATGCATGTTCTGGCAAGTACACGTTCAGGTTATGATAATTAAATAACGGCATACATTTTAGTAAATTGTGGTAACACTTAATTTTGTCACAACACACTGTGATACTAAAATACAATGCAACATCCAGTTCTGATTGTATCATAAAGTAGGTACTCTTGTGTAACCTCATATGTGAAGAAGAGATTATTCTTTTCCACAGAGTATGTGCACCGGTCAGTATAACTACCTGTCATGAGGATATTTTTTTCTATTACTGTGTAACAGTTATAAATAAAATCGTGTAGGAGATAACTAGATGCTATAATACTAAAACTGCATTTGCAGTTTCAAAATTATTTTTGTGAGACATAACGGGATTCAGTGTAAGATATTATCTCTCACAAGAAAAACATGAGAATCTTTAAGCAATGAGTTTTGCCTTCACATCTAGGTGACTATCTAATTGAAAAAGTATTAAAAGAAGTCTTCATTCATACTGCAATTTTTATTGTCCTGAGGGAAGATGAGGGGCCTGATGAAGAGTAGGGCCACCTTCAGTCCATCTTAGAATGCTGTCATACTGAGTTATTGTATCATTCTTTGACAACAATGGCAGAGATGGAAATTCACTCCAGACTGTCCCACAAAGGTTCAGTGATTTATAGAAGTGATGACTGGGACAGGAGTGTGACTTCATCCTGGCGTTCATGAGACCAACTGCAAACAGTCATGAAACCATCACGAAAAAACACTCTTTGCAGTTTAAAATGGCTACATATTCCTGTATTTCTTGGCCAATATACAACTGAGTAGAACAATCATCAGACCGAATGACTCCTACAAGATGACTGCTCACACCATTGCAGATCCCCTATGTTGTGGGTTGACAGCGTCTTTTGGCTTCCTCTCATGGCCCATTCCTCAGGAGCCCAGGTCTTGTGCTCCTTACCCCAGGGTTGGTGTCTTTGCATTAGCGGTCAATATAAACAGCAGCCCTGCCACAACTCCAGCATTTTGTAGCTCGCAAGATTTAGTTTTTGGTGAGACAGGGTCACAGCTCTGGGGAAGAAGGGAAGGTATGTGGTTTATTTTGTTAAGACTCTGTTCATGATCAGAAGGTCACTGGTTCAAATCCTGGGTTTTGCTGACTGATGCTGCCACTGGGCCCCTGAGCAAGGCCCTTAACCCCTAACTCCAGGCTGACCCCATGCTGTGGCCCCTAGACTTACTCCTACCTGTATGTGCCTCTTGAGCAAGCACAGATTGGGACTATTTTTTCAACCTGGAAGAGGTGCATGGTGGCACCTCTGCAACCACGCACTGCGCTCATTCGGCTCTAAATGACAAACGAACATGCTGATGTGCATGTCGCATACAGTATTTGCATATTTTCTTTGAGCAATCGTGATATGTTGTGTGTGTGTGTGTGAGAGAGAGAGAGAGAGAGAGAGAGACAGAGAGAGAGAAAACTCACCAGTTAACATTCTGAATCATTGATGTAGAATTTTAAAATTATTAAAATTGTTTTGTTTCTGGCTGGCTCAATTTTAAACTCAAATTGTTCTGATCAGCAAAGCAGCTAAGTGGCCCACTGGGAATTCTGCTGTCTTCCGATTGGACATCCCGGGCCTCTCCGTGAGCCATTTTCACACATGAATTCTGGACATTGTCCGGAGGAGCAGGCCCAGATATTTTCCAGAGTTGCCCTTTCACACATACGGCACACAATCGGAGTTTGCCAGTGTCAGACGTCTTCACCCATACTAGAAATACCCTAGCTGGTTTAGACGACGGGTGGTGCTTGGATAGAGCCCACATGAGCCAGGGCACGATGCAAGAAGTACGCTACGGAAATCGCAGTGTTTTGTTTGCGACACCACTGACAGAAGCTCCCGAATCCCGTCGTCTCTCCAGTTAGCCATGTTCGTTGGAGTCGTCTTTGTGTAAATGATCCTTCTTCTTCACCCTCGGATGTTTTGTATTCATCTGTTTTCGTGACAGTCGCATGATAAAAAAATGTCATCGACACGCCCACTGGTTTGCGGTGAATTCTACGGAATTCTCCCTGCCTTCTTCACACATGGGAGTCAGTCGGAAATTACCTGGACATTGTACTAGGGAGTTAGCAGGGTAACGTCTGTTTAATGTTTGGCAGGACTGATTCGGACATTTGCAGTCACACATGCATGTCTAGAAATGTTCAGGGTGGCAGAGGATGTTTAAAAGGTGCTACGGAGAGCAGGAAGGAGCAAAATAGGCGAAAAGAGAATATCACCACAGGGAATTCTAGTTATGTGTTAAAACACTTTTGATGTGTTTAGCGACTATCCTGCTAAGTGTCATTTGACTTATGACCACTATTCCTTTATTTATGATGTCATTATTTGTCAAATGCTGTCATGATTTTTGAGTCCGTACCCCTCGGCACCCGATACTCTTGGAATTTGTACACGGATTCTTGAGCCCCTTTGCAACCCTGCTGCCTGTTGATTTGCGAGCTCACATGTCGAGCTGCTGGCTCTCAGACCTCATTTATGGCTGATACATACTGCCTACTGCCATTCATATGTATATATACATATATACACATACATATATTTAAAATATTATATATAATATACAATGGACATTTTAGTAATAGTAATATTGTCGAGAATAAAATATAGTTCATAATGCTTCCTGTAGTTGTTAAAAGGTCACTTGGGATATTTTAATATACACATTTATGTTATTGTTGCTATGTTACTCAGATTTCTGTACATAAACATCCTCCTACTGTTTCTCCCCTGAAGACCTATTAAGAAGGATAGAAGTGTCCAGAATCCGCTTGGCGTTTCCAGCAGCTGTCTCTAAACACCTTGGTCACCTAAATCTCTCGGCGCAATCCTTTGTAATTACTGAGCTTTGTCGGGGGGGGGATAATAATCTTGCAGACACCCCCCCCAACACACCCCACCCGCCTGTGCTCCGTATCGTCTTAGATGGCGTATTTAAAGAGGGATCACCATGCTTGTTCGTTTGAACTGCCATGAACCGCTGAGGAACTCAGAGATTAACCTCACGGCGGAGATTTAAAGATGGTCACTTCAAGCCCAATCTTTTGAGATCTCATCAGCATTGTGGATTCAGAAAGAGAACATGGGGCTCCGCACCGACTGACGGGCTGTGTGATGGAGCATACTAGCAGTCAACCTGGTGCTGAAGCTTCACATATTAGCCGGGCAGTAATTTTTCTGTCCTTCTGCACTTTGTAGTTCATACAACACTGAAACCGAGCTAACACTGAAGCTGAGCTAACACTAAAGCCAAGCTAACACTGAAGCCAAGCTAACACTGAAGCCGAGCTAACACTGAAGCCGAGCTAAAACTGAAGCTGAGCTAACACTGAAGCCGAGCTAACACTGAAGCTGAGCTAACAGGTAACTTTATTATTGCATCGACATTTGATGCACAGACATCCGCAGGCAGCATGGAAGTTATGGGAAACTGTCATGGTGGTCAAGAGCACGTGGGTCTAAGGTTCACTATTGACTACCTGCTGTTCAACAAGGGAAGCCAGGACTCAGGAAAAGAGTCCAGCAATCAGAGTCCCATAACAAACAGGAGTCCCTGTCGCATCGCACCTGACCCAAGTCCACGAGTCTCTACAGCACAAGATGACCTCAAGCTGCAGACAGTACAACACAGAGACTCAGAGGGGCCAGAGGACGACAATGGAAAGGAGATGGTGAGTGGGACTTCTGCTCCAGAGAACCTTCTGGACAAGCCAGCACATTCCTACCTCGCTCTGATCTCGATGGCGATCCTTGCCTCAAAAGAAAAAAGACTCTTGCTGTGCGACATCTACCAATGGATTCTGGAGCATTACCCCTACTTCAAGAGTAAGGTATGGGGGTGTCAGAGGGGCTGGGACACCCAGGCAGATTCAGGGGGAGCAGCACCTGATAGGGGCCCTGGGGGCTGAATTTTTAGGTATGGCCCTGATGGTATATACAAACGTTCAGCTTTAGCATGCATTGGTCTAGTCTGCTGCTTTGTCGTTAATGTATTTTTTTCCCCCTAATTGTCCTACATACTTTACTGTAAAGCCTGAAGTTGATGTACTGAGTGAAACATTTCCCTGTGCCACCCATGACAGGCTCCCAGCTGTCAGTAAGCATGTCCTTGTAGACCAGTTGTTAGATGGATAGATTTTAAAAGTATGAGTAAATTAACTGAATTTTTCATGTCTGCAAAAAACATCGAATAGTATAAAATGTTTAAGACAATAAATACAGGCAGAGAACAACCCAGAATGGGGTGCCAACCCATCACAGGGCACACTCACACACCAGTCACTCACACACCAGTCACTCACACACCATTCACCCACACCACTCACTCACGCACACACACACACCTACTGGCAGTCTGGCAACTCCAATTAACCTCAGCATGTTTTTGGACTGTGGGGGTAAACCAGAGTACCCAGAGGAAACCCCACGACGACACGGGCAGAACATGCAAACTACACGCACACGGAACCCTGGCAGAGACCCAAACCCTGGTGCCAGAGGTGTGAGGCAGCAGTGCCACCCACAGCACCCCCAGACTGCCCCATATTTATAATGGCATTTTAAATAATCACTAGCACAAGACATATAAAACCTTTAAACTTTACGATGCGCTGAATATAATTCTCATTAATAAACTACATCATTCATTCATGTTCTGTAAGTGTTTACAGAGAAAAATAAACCTCATCATCCATCCATCTTCCATAGTTTCTTAACTATAGTAAAGGGCTGCAATGATAAAACATATCAGTTGCAGTAAATGGTGACACAGAATAAATGACATGGATTATGCACCTTGAACAGGGTTTGCCTTGGGTGTTCAGGCAGCTTGGGCAACATTCTTTTCGGCACATTTTTCCATGACTCATTTTAATGCAATGAGTTTTAATAGGAGTCCATGATTAAAACCCATTTCATAAAGTGGTGAGATTCTGCAACAGGTTTAATTCCATCCTGCCGGGTGATGGAATAATCTAGTTGTTGCTGGGTATGTCGAGTAGGCTGGGCGGTGTGTTAATCCACTTTAGGGGTTTCCTGGTTTGCAGTGAAACTGGCACCTTATGCACGGTAGCAAAAGGTTTACTGGAGCGGTTTAGCCTTCCTCGACCTAGCACAAGTTAAAGATCATAGCTCCCAGTAAATCAGTAACAAAGAAGCTTATTACCAGCAGCAGATTGATCTCCGGTTTTATTAGTCATGAGTTTTATTGTCGGAGAATCTGTGATATCAAAGTCTGAATTATTTTAACTAAGATAAATCAAAATACCTCAAATATGGATGTCTTCAGGCTACTGCAGATGTTTTCCTAAAAGCCTTCCTGTCTGTGAACCGAGCTTATCTCATGAATTCAGCTACCCATGCTGTTGTGTTTCCAAATGTCAGGCTCTTTGTGTCCTTGGTTGTGCAGGATAAGAACTGGAAGAACAGCGTGCGTCACAACCTGTCTCTGAACGAGTGCTTCGTCAAAGCGGGCCGCAGTGACAACGGCAAGGGCCACTTCTGGGCCATCCACCCCGCCAACTTGCACGACTTTTCCCGAGGGGATTTCCACCGTCGGCGCGCCCGCAGAAGGGTCCGCGGCATGCCGGCCCAGCTCGCATTCCCCCTGCCCTCTCCATATCTCCCGCCACGCCACCCCAGGAACTCCGCCTATTGCTTCTGCCCCCCGAGCCACCAGCTTGCCTGCTGTTCTGCCAGTATCAGCTGGAACTGGCACTGCCTGGGTGCTATGGGCCTGCCAGGCCATTCTTCATATCGCTGCAGTAATTACTACACAGCTATTTAATGACAGCGTCAGGAGCCACATTATTTCTTGGTCAGTGAGACATGAACCTACTTCATAATAAAAGTCCTGCCGACTCATTGGGCAGTAAAGGTAAAAGTTGTCAATGGTGGAAGGAGCGATAATTTCATCTTCTACTTTTAATTACGCCACACACTCCAGTACCTATTGAATATGGACCCACCAGCTGAGAAATGCTGAGCTACAGGGAGGTGTTCCACAAAGCTGGATTTCTCAGCTGGGTTAACTCAAGCTAGTAGTCATGATCGTCCAATAGGAATGCACCTTACCAAAACTCTTATTGGACAATTATGATTGTCCAGTAGAAATGCTCCTTACCTAACCTCTTATTGGACGATCGTCACTTTCAGTCTAAGTTATCCCAGGTTGTTCCCAACCTCCAGGGATACAAATTGTAGTACTGAGAAGTCTTACTTCATCTTACATCCATCTACTATAACTGTTTATCCTAATTTGGGGGGCGGGCGGGGGGAGTTCAGACCCTATGGGTACAACCCACTACAGGGCCCACTCGCACCTATGGGTAATTGGGTAACTCCAGGAAACCTCAACATGTTTTTGGACTGTGGGGGAAAACCGGAGCACCTGGAGGAATCCCCACAATGACACGGGGAGAACATGCAAACTCCACACACATGGAACCCTGGCAGAGACCCAGACCCGGGTCCCAGAGGTGCGACCCACTGCCCTAACATGCCAACCCCACTTTGTGTTCACTTTGCTTTTTCTTTACCTGTAAACAAACCTCAGTTGGACTCAGAACTAAATTTAACCAAGGGCCACATTTTAATATATAATGTAAAATGTTTTGTAGTTTTTGTGACAATTACACATTGTGAAAAATATTACTGTAAATACCTTGTAATATTTAATATTATTACTGGCATAGATTAAAGTTAATATATATTTTTAAAAATAACATGAACATTACCTGTTTCTTACTTATTCACTGATGCGTGTCTGAACAGGAAACATTCATTATAATAGAATCAAACGTAAAACATTATTATAAAAAACTGCATTGCTTTGCTATTGTATTGTTTATGGTTTTCTTGATACAATACGCGAAATTTAAGGTTACATTTTAAAAACTGTACTTTCTATTAGAGACTACCACTGCATTTGCGTGCTTATATTTTTGTGCTAAAATTGGTTAATTCCCATAACTTCGTGTTTCATTACCCTGAGGCTTGACCTCGCATTGCTGAAAATGGGAGCCGCTTAGATCCCACCCACTATGAACCGACAAGATCCGTAACCAATCATAAAAGCAAATTAATCTGTTGAATATGTTGATAGGTCAACCATATTTGAGTAACAAGCGTGAGGCTCATTCACCACAGTGTCGCCACCAGCGAAACATACAGCATCTGCTAGCTACAAGGCTTGATTTCGTTATACCGTTCTTATGCCTTAATCATATCCATTGTTTTACAAACAACGATTACGGTGATTTCAGAACAGCATGACCATACGAAAACCATCTCACTCAGAAATCCACTCAGGCATGCTAACTTATCTTCCCATCCCCAAAACCAAGAATAAATATAAAAATCATGTTATAATGCACGTGAAATGCATGTTTATAATTTTATATTGTTTTGTATTTATCTTTTTAAAAGAACAAGTCCCATAAAATAAATAATATTATAACAAATAGTGCATTCGCAATAATGTGGTTGCTACCGATAATATGTGTTCTTAAGATTTAGGCCTACCAAAAATATTTTAATAGAATTATTACTGAAGGCAACAACAGGCGTGTTTTATATCAGATGTGGATCAGCTCGGTTTTGCTTTGAAAATAACCGGTATGATTGTTCCGTCTTAAGTGATAAGAGCTCAGACTCCGCACGGCGTGTGTGTTCCTGCGGGGTGTTAAAAGCGAACACATACGCGTGCCAGAGCCTATAGTTAAGTGCTAGCTAGACTGATCCTTCTGAGGGCCAAATCCCCAGTGACTAAGGAGCCTAAAAGCAGGTTATGTAAAGCTGGATCTGGGGATGAGAATCCAGCTAAATCCCGAAATCTTCAAGTAGTTTCGAAAAATAGGAGGCTTATCACGCAGCATAATCTCGTAAGTGATTGTGGGGATGACACCCGCAGCGCGTGGAGGACGGAGCGGCCGTAGGGGAAACCCCAAAGATGGAATGGGGAAAAGAGGGAAAGATCCATCAGAGAAGTAAGGAAAAGGAAGTGCGTGTTCAGTTGTTTGATGTGTGTTAAGAGCTTAAGGAAGAAAACACAGAGTATGTATATAGAGAGGAAGCAGACACGGGCCTACACAAAAGAAAAATAAATAGGCCTGCATAATAATAGAGAAGTAAAGGAGGTTTAGATTACACAAAACCAATGAATAATTAGGTTAACACCTGGAACAAAATAAAATAGAACTGACGGATTTTGGACAATTTATTAGCAAATCTAGTCGGAATGAAGATTAGTTGGAAAAACTCCTATCCCGAAAACCTACAATATTTAGAATGCTCTGGCGCCCTAGTGCGATAACAATAGCCGCCCTAATCAATACACGACTGAAAGGTGTGCTTTCTATTGCTGCCAGTTTTTTTTCTCAATATACACGCAAACAATTTAAAAGTTTCCTCCGTCGATCCGCAAAATGCCCTTTGAACGGGTCGGTAATGACATAATTTCTTTTTGTAATAGAATAGGGTTGATTCTTAAAAAGAGACTACCGCTTCGAAAGTATTTTTCTCTTAACTTGGTGACTATATTCACTCTAATTAGCCTACTTTAAGTCCATCCAATCAGGTGAAATCCCTTCATTCTTTCAGTTAGAGAAAATCTAATTTGAAATACTAATTTGTTTAAGTCTCGAAACACTGGTGACTACATTAAATCCGCTTCCTTTTGACCTCTTTAGGGTTTTAATTCAATTGCATATGGTCGCCGTATGCCGGTAGTATACGAATCACTAACGCGCACGGAGAGAGAGGGAAAGAGAGCGAGAAGGAGGGAGAGAGAGAAGGAGGGGGGTAATGAAGAAAGAAACAAACCTATTTGACACATTGGCATATTGACTCGTCTCCTCCCTCATAAAACGGTTTCTATAAAACCCGAATGAACGCATGGTAACATTTGCTTTCTCCTTTAAACATTTATTTACTTATTTTCTAACAAATAATCGTTTCTTCAAGAAATCACGCCGGAGGTATACAAACCCGTGACTTTTGTAAAGATTTTCATGTCGTGGTTTGTACATTGACATTTTCAGCATGTTAAAGTAGTTTTGACCTGCAGTGTTACTGTATCGAAAGAGGTATCATGCTTCTGGTCCATATTCTGATGGAAATTCACCCAAGCTTTATTCATGCATGTTTAAGTCCATGGGTTTGTATTTTTGCGTATTCCGCATAAACCTCTGCTCCATTTTCAGATATTTTTTTAGCATATCCATGTCATAATATAAAATATATATAATAATAAAAAATAAGTGAAATTATGAGCGCTTCTCAAGGGGGCTGCGGGGGGGGCAGCGGAAACTTGAACCTGTACGATTCAGGTCAAGAGCCCACATACTTAACCACGCTGCATTACGTAACGCCAATTCGTTGAAAGTCTGGATTGTCTTCTTGGGGTTAAATGACAACCATTAACGGCAATATAACGTACTGATATTCATCTCCGGTATCATCGTCAAATCACTGCATATCAGTCAAAGTCCACATCATGGAGTAAGGACATGGTTAAAAAAGATCTCGAAAACGTTATTAAGCTATTTTATACGTGAACACCGAAATAATTAAAGGTAGTTGGAGGTATGTTAGTTTTTCCGATTAATCAACTTAATAGAATAAAAAGGGAAGTGATGCCGAGAACAATTTAGTTGGTTAACAATAATAACCAAATTCCACGAGATCTCTAGCTAGTCTACGTTGTTGTGAGACGACTGGATTTACGGTATACAGGCTAGCTCATGCTGCGTATCTGATTGAACTGTGAAAGGCGAATATAGGCCTGCATACGATAACATTCTCACTGCTTTGCCCTTAACGTTATTGTCGAATCGCATTAGGTGTAACTTTACCTTACACTGTGCCATCTAAATCTGTTATAAACTTGTTAGCTGAATGAAAATCGTACCTCAGGGGGCTTACTTTAAACAAAGGCGATATAGGCCTAATCGTGGGGTGAAATGATTTTGCATTCAGTGTTTTTTTACCTCGACAAAGAAAAATGAGTTGTAACTGTATGAAAGTGAGTATGTCCCTAAGGAAAGCATGCACGTGAACAGTATATAGACTATAAAATGTCTAGCTTACCTATTCAAGTTAATAAAAAACAAAGCATCCCCTGCTTTAGCCATCTAAATGCATGTAAATCCGGCGATACTGCTCTTGACAAGAAAAAAAATAAATAGAAAAAAATCTTTGTTCCTTTTAATCTATCCCGTTGTATAATTACCACAACGAAATTCGTCCCCCCTAATAAAAATACCTTTGCATTGAAGTTATACCCGCCCCCCAGCATCAAACTCTTTCCTGCGCCCTTGTATGGCAACAGTACGCTACTGCCAGGCATTAATGTAACCTGAAGGAATATATGATAAAACGAGAAAAATTCACACAGCAAAATATATCCAGCATATGTTATGCCCTATATCTTATAGCTAATTGTAAACTTGTCAAATATGCCAATGACAGGAAAGCTGACGGCAACAAGGAAGAATCGTGCATTGGATCGAAACACTGTTGTGCTGTGTCTGGATCGGCCTATACTGGGGCTTTAGCACTCGCGCTATTTTCGGCAAATAAAGTTATTAATTTCATCTTCTCATTAGATAAAAGCATGTTCATCTGCTGTGCAAAGGTGCTAAGAATGGTTAATGAACAATGACATGAATAAGCGATTTAAATAGGATTAACTTACATTTGTTTAGTATTAGTAGATCTACGATTAATTCGCTTTAACACCCTATAGTGACTTTAAGCAAGGTGAAACGGCCCTATCAGTCACACTGA